CTGTCGCTCACGCTACAGTCTTTTGCCTCCAGCAGCCGAGTCCTTCTGATCTTCTGGGCTTCCTGCGGTGCTTTTATTTGGGTGCATTTACGGGTAATACCCACAGTAACTCTGATGTTATCAGTCGGGTCGGGTTTCTATTTCTTCGTTTCCACAAACACAAAAGACACATCTTGACAGTGACAGATTGCAAATAAGTCCACAGACTAGATAAAGGGATAGAAGCAGCCAGATCTTCACATGCTTGTGGGACAAACTGCAAATAGATCAGGTGGGTGTTAAACACTGTTGAGGTAGATTCCTTTCACTGGCGTCACACCTGACCCGAACCCTAACCCTGGACTGATGCATGAGCCCCAGCAGCCACTCCACCAACATGCTGCTGCACACACGGATCGATGCTGAACGCAGCTGAACTTGTGTGGCCACACATCCAATCTTTTATCATTACAAAAGGCACAACCTCCTTCTCTGAAGGTGTCCAGGAGGAAACCAGACCGTCACTGGGAAATGAGGAGGATGAGATTGATTCCCTGAGATGCTCGGTGCATAACGTGAGCCACATTGATTTATTTAAAGGAAAACAGGCGACTGTGGTTGTGCTGATGTTTGATCACAGTGAATGATCGTCAGCTAGATAAAGACACACTGAGGCTGTGCAGAAGAACGCCGTGAGGCTTTAATTCAACCCTGTCCAGGACGTTCATGCTGCCGTACGTAGAAGGTCTTTCAGGGTTCACTGGATTTCTGGTTCCTAATGCACAACAAATGTCCGTCTTTTTATATCTAAAACAACGCTCAAAAACAAAAAACAACACCTGTCACCTAGACCACATGGCCTGGGCTCCAGAAGAGGGGTTAAGGTTTTCTATCTCAGTGCTATGTGCTGGTCAGCTCGTCCCTGCAAGACACTGAATCTGAACCAAAAAACCAAAGTCCTACCGCCTGCTGTGTCCCGGTGGAACAAAGACCCGTCAAGCAGACGTAACATCACTGGAGCTGACAGAAGCGTGATACGGTCCTTTCATGTCCTTTATAATGCTAACCTGGTCTAACAGCTCAGGTCTGAGGGGTTCTCCTGTACAGAACCTTTCTGGTCACAGACGTCAAGGCGGGATCATGTCGTGTACATCCAGCTGCTGCACCTGAAAGGCTCCTTTTAGAATTTGGAGAATTATTATTCTCTTGCAGACTCAGATGAACGAAATGAAAATAATGTCAAATCTGAACTGATGGAGGCAGCATTGCTCATTAAAGACCAGCCAGCCTGGCTCGGTCCAAATCCAGCACAAATCCACCAACTAGCACCTCCAAAGTTCACCGGTGAACACGTTCTGCTTTTCCTAACCTGCGTTTCAACTCAGAATGCTCATAAGCATTATTATTATTATCATGAATATGACGGACTATACCTGCCAAATGTACCTAGAAGCAGTGGATCTGACTTTATACCTGGAATCATACAAACCATAAATCAGCACCAGCTCAGCTGGACCCGCAGCCGGCTCCTCGCTGCAAACTGAACAGAACCAGTCCATGTATATGCAAGAGCAGCCCAGACTGTGTGAAGGCCGAGGAGGTCCACAGAACTACAACACATCACTTCACAGAAAAAGGCTGTGAAACGAGCCTAAAATGGACATGAAAGAATTAGTCTTTAAAATCAATATATTCTGATGGCAATCATCCTGGGCTGAAGCTTTGAAGTCTTGGTTCCAGTTTCTGATTCTTAGGTTTATTAGTGTCCAGCGCGTAGTGGGTCAGACTTCAGAGGTTTGTTTAGCTGAGCCCAGACATGTTCAGTGAAAATAAACTCTGCAGTCAGTATTTTAAAGACCCTCCACATTACTTCAGATGCCTCCTGAGCCACACAACAAAACATTATAAACGACCTTTTCCCTCTAAGATTCCCGTCTGACTAAAACAGATGTGATCGGAGCATCAATGAGACTCCACCAAGGCTGTAACGTTCTGCTGCTACGATGCCCTCATTGTTTAGTCGGTGCTGTTTCACCCTTTATCTTTCAACCCGAGCTGTGCTGGATGCCCTTGCTTCTTTTCTTTTTTTCCTACTTTATTATTTCTGCGGGATTGAAAGCTCGTCCCTGAGGTGTGCTGTTTGCTTCCTGTTTAATCTCACAAAGAAATCAACATTTTCATCCTGAGGAAGAAATACTGCAGCCAGACGGGATGCAGGGAGGAAAGGCAGCGCTGACATGAACTCTGGATCGGTTTGTCTGAGCTGCTCATTTGTGGGAATGTCGGTGTGGTAGCAAAGGATGAAATTAGAATTTAAACTACCATCTGAGATGATGTTGGCCTGATTATTGCAACGAGGGCACAGGACAAAGACAAAAGCCAGATTGCTGAACATAAATCCTTTATAGGGGAACAAAACTAAGTGTTCAAGTGAAGGCTGAGCCGCCATCTGAGCGGCCGTCCTTCAGCACTCGAGGTTAATCCGTGAGCCCTTTGAAGTGACACCGAGGTTTCCTTCGCGGGAAGTCCCATGACCCTGCTGATCCTGCTAGGTGTGGGAAACCCAACCACGCTGCAGGACTGCCAACTCCCCGCTCTGCTGCAACAGCTGCATGAGTGTGTGAATATGCAGCGCTGCCGAGGTGCCAACAGGAGGCTCAAAGGAGAATATATTTGTGTTTGGAGACACCCGAGCCGAAGCCCTTGTGTTGACTGGAGCGTGATGTGTGTGTTGGACTTCCAGATGGGAGGAAACAGACGTTCAGCACTGCAGACAAACGAGCCTCTTCTGTGTTATTGCAGCGTGAACTGAACATGAACCTTCTGCTGAAACAGGCTGTGACGCTCGTGTTTTCTTGTCCTTTTCTAGCAATGAACCACTAAACAGCAAACATTGTTCTGAGGATGATTCTTTATCACCCCGAGAGCTTCATGCTGTTTGAACTGAGGTCGCTCACTTTGGGGCTTCATGTGCTATAAATGAGTTCATAACAAAGGTCCTTCTTCTTTATGTGCCAAATGATTATTGTGCCGCAATCATCATATATGTGGGAGACATAGAAGACAGCCCGCGGTTCAGCTCCTGTAGTCGAACCAATCAGGTGAGGATGATGAAGCGCTCTAACAGGCCACTTACTGACTCAGGGAGGCGACTTTCTGTCCCCAGGAAAGCCTTTTATCGGAATTGCCACTGATCTGCACAGTTGATCTTTAAAATAAGCTGCCCGAGCTATCGTTTCAGAACGCATTACACCGTCTATTGATTCCATACAGCTGCTGATGGGGAGACAAGTCGGTGGTGTTTGTTCCAAACAGAAGGCACATGTGCATGCATTCAGCCAGGCAAAGGGAGAAAACATGGGTTTGATGAGAGGCTGTTATCACCGCTGGCAGGTACAGGACAGGACGGCTTGAGCACACAGCCGCAGCTCGCCAACAACAACAACAACAACAGCAGCGCTGCTTTGTGGCGTGTGAACGGTGTGTAGCTGTCGGCGTGGGGACGGATTTTAGCAGATCTATGAACAATTTATCAACTGCTTTGTCACCACAACGACTTCCAGTGAAGTCACGGCCGTGAACAACAAACAAATGCTCTGAACTCATTACGTTGCATTCGCTGTTGGTGAGTTTCATTCTTCAGAGTCTGTCTTCATCCAATTAAACGTCACATCTGTACGGACAGTTTGTAACAGATGTGACGCGCCTGGATTTGGAGGCTGTGTGTGAATGTCTGTGTAAACTAATGCGACTCAAACTGAAGCATTTTGCCGTTTCTGTAACTGCTTACGGTCCAGGATGACACATGAGCTCGATCAGCCCGGGGCTGCTTTCAGGCTAATTTCACCACATCTGCTGATAAGTCTGTTCATTAGCAGGACACGCTGTACATACAATATTGTGTTTTCCTGCTATGTTTGCCCCCCACCCTGACCTGAAACAAGGCATCACGAGCAACTTTGCGTTGAGTCCAGGATCACCGCTACCTGCCTGCCTAAGTCTTAATGAATGCAATGAAAAGTAAATCCATTATTTTGTGGATTTTTTGTATAAAACAAATTGGATGTAATGTCGGCCTGATGCTGGAGAGAACAGAGACATTTGCTTTTGTACTTTAAAAGCAGACTTGGCCTCTCGCTCATACAGAGGAACAATGATCGTCACTGGACAGGGTGAGTTCTGCAGTTTGTTCTGATAAGCGCTGGGTCTACGTTATGAAACGATTTACTCTTTAGGACTTTGTCATCCAAAACGCAGGAGGGTGACAATTGGAAGAACTTAGTTAGGATATCTTTTGCAGACGTGATCTATCCAGCGTTCGGTGTTTGTCTCGTGTGATGTGATGTCAGCATATCATTGCATAGACAGCATCTATAGCCATGACTGCATAAACGTGTGTCTTATGCTTCTTATGGGGTTAAGGTCTTCAAACGTGACCCACCAACGCTGGAAAATGCTACTGAAGGGTTACCCACCCTGCACGCTGAGATGCTACGCTAACGGGGTACTCAACGCATCTAAAACTAACAGCAGCGAATCCTGACAAAGTGTTCCTGTGCGACCAACTGAGGCTGTTGGTTTTCTAATTAGCACTAATAATACAGCTGATGTTGATGGAGATGCTGGTAAGTCTGTGTCTGGATAAAGATCCATTTTCTTTGCTGCTAGCCAGTGGATTGGAGGCGGAGTTTCTGTCCCAAGGAAAGGAGTTCAGGTATGTTGAGATCTTGAGAACATTAAGCATGAAATGGACAAACACGGCGAACAGTTCAGTGGTTGATTTACCAGTCGATCGTCGTTTCAACCCTCAACTATGGCCCCAAGCTCTTTAGCGACCAAAACAATGAGGTTGCAGATACAAGCAGCCAAAAGGAGTTTCCTCTGCAGGGTGGCTGATCAGCAATGGGCTGATGAGCTCCAACATCGGAGGCAGCTCAGAGTCCAGTTGCTGCTCCTTTGCAACCAAAGGAGCCAGCTGAGGTGGTTTGGACATTAAGATGCCTCCAGGGCCACTTCCTCTGGAGGTTTTCAGGGCACGTCCAATTGGGAGAAGACCCAGTGCTAGACCTGGAACTCACTGGAGGGATTATAAATCTCATCTGGCCCAGGAACACCTTGGGATCCCTGGAAGGACTGGAAAGTGTTGCTGGGGAGATGAAATGTGGACGGACCTGCTTCACCTTCTGCCTCAGTGACGTGGGAAAAAGGTCAATTGATGGACAAAGACCTCTTTTGACCAGATGATGGTGTTAAAGCCAAAGTTAAAGGATCCTGGGACACATGGCGGTTCTCCTCCTCTGTAGTCCACTTGGAGGACTCCATGCACAGGTAACTACATGCTTCATAAACGCTGCCATCACACCGCAGGCACACATCTTGAGCTGCACGTGGATGTCTGAAGACTTGGAGCGACGACCGACTGTAACGCTGGCCTGAAGGGAAGATAAACGTCACATCTGGCTGTCGTTCAATGGCATTCAAAGGTCTAAAACACCAAAACGTCAGCCATCAGAGGAAATGTTGGGAATCTCTGAAGTCATTAAGATTCATCCTCTGGGGAGTTTCCTTAACAAGATTTCACGGCAAACCATCCAGTATTTGTTGAGATATTTCCGTCAGTGCCCAGAGCCTTTCTGCATGACGCCGTGTTCACACATCCCCACTAACACACAGGAAGCAGCACACAGAGTCACAGGAAACTCACAACACGTGTGTGATGAAAGCAATCTGCACTAATTATTACCAACCAGATTAAAGATTAAATTCTGATGAATCTGTCCCAGAAAGCATCACAGGAAGGCACACAGATTCCACTGTAGCATACAAACACAACATGCAGCATGCTCATTAATTAACTGGGATAAGTGTTCTGCCATGAATATTCACGGGTCGGTCCACTGTGTGAGTGCATGCAACATTTTTAATCCTCAGTGATCAGTCAAGAAGAGAATCATGAGCACGTCGTTGTTATTCTCAAGGGGAACCTCGTGTCTTCTACTGCATCAGCATCTTGCTACCTGCTGGAGCGTGCACGTGACACCGCGCTCAGTCTCATTAGGCGTATTTAAAGTTTGCCCTTGAAAGATATTACAAGTAAGCACTGCAGGAGAATTACACCTGTGCCTCCTGCTTTTCCCAGAAAGCTGCTGCTATGGCAGAGCACTGATTCTGTGGATGTACTGTCCCGGTATCTAAATCCAATCTGACTCTGTACAGAGGAGGCTGCACAACAAGGTGAATTGTGTTTCTTCACACGTCTCCCTAAAACCTTTCCTATTAGTTTCCTCTATCGCCGCATTCGATCGCACCGACTGTATGTAAATATCAACCTTGTGAGAGGTAATGAAGTTCAAATGGCTTTTAGTGAACATGTGAAGTGCTGCAGGTAAACTCTGCCTTCAACCTGTGTTGCTCTTACCTTCTTACTGACTGCTGCTGAATGGGAGACGGTGGCAGCTCGGTGCAGGAGGGACGTCCAGTAAAAGATCAGTGCCTCTGCTCGTTCGCTTTTATACATGTCCTCTCCAACTATTTTAGGATGAAAAATGGGCTCCCAGTTCAGAGCGGGGTCAGTGCTGCCGGGCCGCCGGGCCGGGCCGTATCGCTTTCTTGACTGGACTCACGCTAATCAAACACTACTATTAATAATTCTCCATCTCCACACCCTGGTCCCGGCCAGGGTTCTTTTATGCTCACCCTTCCTCTCCCCTCCTCCAGCGCTCCCTCCTTCCAGCCACTTGGTTTCTCGACCTCCCACCGAGGGCTTGGATCTGTCCTCGGATCCCCCTCTCATCCCGTCTCCCTCTTTTCTTTCTCTTTCCCGTCTCCTTTCTCTTAAACTTTTAATTTTCACTTGTTAATTCTCACCTCTTCCTTGAAGGCATTCTGCATCAGCAGAGACAAACTACATTCCTCCGACCACCTCGGCCACCAGTGATGGAAACGAAGCCTTAACGTAAACCCACACCTACAGGTAACTAATCATCATGTTCACATGTTGCACGTCGCACATCACATGCCACCGACAATGACTGTCTGGCAGCTTTAACATTTAAAATGTTGAGTTTCTTTTGGAGAAGTCCGTCCTTACTTTGCCCGTTCCCTGCATTTTAAAATCAATAAAACAGAAGCTAGAGTCCTTGAGTGCACAACGTAAGAATTGTTTTTAACGACATTTTTTATCAGCCAGAAGACGCATGAGCAGCGAAACAAGGCCAAAGTCACAACCCAGCATTTCTGCCTTTAAACTGCACTGAAGCATAAAGCAGTGGCTTCATATGTACAACAAGCAGCTCGACAGCGACGGAGTCGTAGGCGAGCCGGTGTGCTCGAGCTGCAGGAAGTGGTTCAGGGTACGTGGAGAAAGAAGCTGGCGCTTTGTAGATCCTCACATTTTACATTTGAATTGCATCAAAGCCATTTTCAGGCAAGAAGGGACGGTTTTAATTGGACGAAAACATTAAACATGTAAACGGGGAACAGAGTTGATGCTACACACAACCTGAAACCCCAAAACTTCATGTCATTGCTACTATGAATAATAATGGAGCTCTGTGGACCTACCAGCCCCTCTGTTACCCCTCTGTTACCCTCGTTATGGCCCCATGCACACTTCTGTCTTCAGAAGGAACCCAGAGCTGACCAGACCTGCTCTGGCTAGTTGGGATTCATAACTGAACAGCTGCTGTTCACAGAGCGAGCCCTCCATACCCAACTACGGAGGCCTGATTGTGACTTTGCAGAGAGGGAAGCTGCACTAGAGCCCCGGTGCTGTTCATCACCAACCCAACGATGAAACACTGAGGCACTGGCAGGCTGTACATCCCTCAGGGAAACCCGGTCCAGTTCAGGAATCCTCCCCAAGGCTCACTGATAGATGCAAAGTGATGATAGATCCCAGCAGGCATCAGCTGTTTCCACCAGCGGTACCACCGAGGAGCCGTCACAGTGACCTGTGGGCGGGTTCAGCTGGGACCGGCCCATTCCAGTCTTCAGGGCTACTGTCTGCATGTGAGCGCTGTAAACAGGTTTTACTGGGGAGCTGGATTCATGTGCACTCCAGGCTCATGCATGCATTGTGATGTGGAGTGTGAGGATGGTGAGACTGTGTGAGGCATGAAGCCGCTCTGTCCTCACAGCAGCTGTTCTCATCTCAGTCAGGACGTCGTCCATGTGAGCCGCTAGCAGCTTTATGGCCCACATGTTGTTGATGTAGGACGGTTTTCAGATGGTATCGTGTGTAAGGGAGCAAAGATTGATTGTCTTTACCATCTAATCACACAGTGTTTATGAGATGAGGTGTGATCAAGAAGTTCCAGGACTTAAGCGAGACGTGCACCTTAATAAAATTTGGCCGACGTCTCCTCCAAAGCAGCTTTCTTGTGCAGAGATACACAACTTCCAGAGCTCCTGCCACATTGGAAACACTCCCTGGAGGTCCCAGTCTGACCACATGCACATGCACATTTCGCTATTTCACCGTGTAACTGGTCAAAAAACGTACAAATTCTGTGTCTGTCTGACCCGACCTTCATGGCAAGAATCATCTCTGGTGACAAGAATTGGGTCTGTGGTTCGGACGTGGAGACCATAAAGCTTGAAGAAGCCACAGCAGGTCAGAAGAAGGCCTGACCTGCTGCTGAACATGCACGGGGTTTATCCCCTCAGCTCTAACTGTGGAGCTCTGCTGGAGCATCTTGAGGCTTGAGCTGCGTGGCATTGTGGCAGCGCGTCAAGCCACAGGCTGTTTAGCTTGTCGACTGCACCAACCCTGATGATGCCAGGTTTGCTTCCTCTGTCCTCATCTTAGCTAAACTGGTCAAGTCGGGTCAAGTCAGCACTGTGGATGGAGCGGGCCTGGCTGGGAGCTGGTCCTCTCTGCACCAGAGGCCTGTTTAAGGGGAAACAGGTCAACTGGACTGGAATGCAGCTGTGATCGATGCAGTCCCACTTCTTGATTATACCTCTTATACTGTTTTTGGAAGGTATTTATCGGCGCCGGTGTCAGAAGTCACATTAGAACTTAGCTCCATGAAACTTTTTTCTTTCTCCTCCACTCGACTCTAACGCCGGCGTCACCACAAAGCCCTGAGTCTGTTTAACCGTCCTCTCTCATCCCGACTCTCCCCGACCGTCTTTATCTCATTTTGATGCAGCCTTGTGAAGAGAATTCCTCTCCCTCCGTCTGTCTCTTACTCTTTTGCTAATGCCTCCAATTCCATCACCTTCTCCACCTTCTCATGGCAGCCAAAGGGCTGCAGAGGGGATTCCCTTGATCCCACCATGTCCCGCTGTGTTCCTCAGCAGGGCGGCGGGAGGCAGGAGGAAGAGATGGAAGGAGGTGATGGAGCGGTGGCAAGCGAAGCCAGGAGGGAGATGGAGGTGGATGATGAAAGAGAAGCAATGAAAACAGTCGTGACAAAGGGGAGATTAAAAGAGAAATGCAGAGAGAGAAAAGTGAGGAGGCGAGGGAGGAGGTCAGGGGAGCGGTAGGGCTGGATGTCACCAGGGAACCTGGACCTGGAGGAGTGGGCCGGGATGGGACAGTAAAAGGACTGAAGGTTGGAACGCTGACAAACTGCCTCCTGCGTCGGCTCTTATCTCAAACTGCAAAGACTGCATGACTCTGGCTTGTCAAAATGGAAATCTGTTCCTACCTATATACTTTCACTTCTCCTTCATCAACATGGGAACGTGGACTCCTCCTCCTCCTCCTCCTCCTCCTCCAGCCTGGCCGTCGGATCGTCTCCGCACTGCTTTTGTTTGCTGCTGTTTACTTATGAGACTTCCATTCATGTAGGTTTGGTTCAGATTGTTTGGCGCCGATATGGATGTGTTGTCGTGCACTGACTGGCATATCAAGGCAGAAAATTGCCTCCTTGGTTCATTTACAGTGTGTGTTATTTGCCGCTGGGCTCCCTTCGCAGTCACGCACACCATCAGCAGATCTACTGTTAATCATGCAAACGAGCTCTGCTCATTAAGAAGCTCTCCTGAGGGCATCCGCCTCGGTTTGTTGGTCAAATCATGATAAATATTTGTGCTATTGTGTTTAAAAATGTCATGAATTATGTAGAATCACATTTTAAAACAGAGTGCCTTCAGAGTTTGGACCAGGGCTGACCACTAGCGTCCACTTGGTTTCCTCTGCTTGCATGCTGGACACATTCTGGACTCCTTCCACTAAAACATCACATCAGAACAAAGGCAAAGTTATTCTTGGGATCAGCTAGAAGATAAAGTAGAGCATAAGGCAGAATTCCACGGAGGCAAAGAAAAGAGTGAAGCTAATCAGAGAAGGCTGAAGTCCAGGTAAGCCGGTCTGATGTGGACCCGCTGTGAACCCTGTTTCAGCACAAAGAGAGGCACAGATAGAAGCAGCCGGTCGGTTTCCGGCCATCTGGTTTTCTGCACATTTTAATTGTAGTCATGGAGTCTCCACACTTAGCAGGACGATGTCATCCGTCTCTCCACTGCCTCGTGCTCTTCAGAGGTTCTTCCATCACTGTCTTGTTCAACCTGTGGGCTGTTCTTCAGCCTTTATAAGCTTTGCAGAGGATCTCTTGGCTGCACTTCTTTCTATCTGTGCAATGGAAGGTATGAAGTAAACTGTGGTTACGTTTCGAGGGGAGCATCTTGTCTCTGTGATGGTCACTGATGCGTTTCTAATCGACATATCTTTGCAGTTTATTCCACTGCTGACCCACCGTGGCCACCAGTCACACATAAGCGAAACACGAGAGCTTCCCAAACCTAACAAAGTCATTTTGGGACCTGAACCTACCCAAACAGCAGCTGAAAACAAAATGTAAGATAAGATCAGATCATGAACCCGGTCCCTCTGCACCACCTCTCCTCCTGACATGGACTTTGTGGCTCTTTGGAGATTGACATGCATCTCAATGTCATACTTTCACCTTTCTAGGTAAGTCTACACCTTCTTTCTGAGATTTCATTGCACAGATAGAAAGAAGCATGAGGTGCAGTCAGGAGGCTCTGCAGTAGCAGCTAACAAAGTCAAAGCAGCAGACACGTTTAACAAGGCAGTGATGGAAGAACATGTGAATGGTGAGCAGCGATGGAAGTGCCTTCTGCCGTATACTTCTGTGTGACTGAGTACAATTAAGATGTGCAGAGAACCAGATGGCCGGAAACATGCTCGCTGCTTCTATCTCTGTCTCCGAGTTGCCATAACAGCTCCAACCTTTCCCTACCCCATGTCAATTTACACCAGACCCCCTCGGCCTTGACATCACGTCTCAAACGCTGGCCCACCATGTTGATGTCATCTTATGAATGTCTCAGTGCAGATGACACTCATCGCATGACATACCGCTGTCCTGCCTTGCAGATGGTTTTCATCACCACTTCTTTTTCCTGCCACTGACACCGAGGCTCCAGAATGCCATCTCGATGTGCACGACTTAAATATCCGTCCGTCCTCTACAACCTTGACCTTTGCCTCCGGATTCTGCACTCGCCTAATGTCTCCGTGGCCACCAACAAAACCAACAGTAACCACCTCATTTTTCTAAGTTCCCGTCATACAACAGCGTACAGTCGGGGTGTCACCGGGCAGAGCAGAGCGCAGCAGCACACTCAGCAGTCATTTGGTG